ATTGTGGAGATAATGGGAATGATTTTTGTTCAGTTTTAGGACAGTGAGCCAAAAGACAACATCAAAACCTAACTTAACCTAACCTAACCTATCTTAACCTAACCTAACCTATCTTAACCTAACCTAACGTAGCTTAACCTAACCTAACTTAACGTAACGTAACGTAACGTAGCCTAACCTAACCTGACGCTGGGTTATTGACTCTTACAGTACAAGTTGAGGTCTTTTTTCTGTGGTAATGTTAATAGTCGTGTCTGCATGTCTTATATATATAGTGAAATAATCAATATTACGGTGATACTCTTCCTATATCAGTATAAACAAACTATAGTATTTCTGCGCTAACCTGGCCCATAAGCCACGCCCCTCTTCTATACTAATAGCTGATTGGTTCATAGAAAATTCACATAAATGGGTTCACAATTGGTAACCAGACCTGTTATTACCTAAAGTAAGGTTAAATATCTGGACTATCAAAATGCAAATCATTTCAAGGCATTAGCACTTCAGAGAGGATGTTAGAAAATTTTAAATAATTATTATAAAAGGTCGATATAAATACGCTCTTATATATGCTGAGTCCTGGGGGGGGGAGGTAAAACACTCAGGGGAATCAATCAGCGGGCGGGGCTTAAGGGCCAGTGGAAAGGTATAGGTGTATCATCCTCCAATATTACATTTAAGTACAGAGACACAACAACACATTACACTAAATATTAAGAGAAGTATCTAAATCAAATCTCAAATGGAATGTTGAAAGAAAACGTTAGATTAGTAAAGCTTGGTTAGGTTAGGTTAGTACTGATGGTATTAAATTGTAATCTGTATATTATAGTTATCTATAAGACTGCTCAAATACACATATGTTTAAATTTTCGAAAATACCATAATTATGTTGATATAATATTTATCACACACACACACACACACACACACACACACACACACACACACACACTACCTACCTTAATAATGACCTCATTTGCTCCACTATACCTACAAAAAAAACTATCACCCAGAGCTGTTCATAGTAATGGATTTTTCCCCAAGTCAGTCTAGACATACACCAGACGCACCTCATTCTCCCGACTGCTTGACCTCTCATATTACCAGTCCACAACGTTACCAAATGACCTCGTATTGAGCGTCTGGGATCGAGTCACACCTTCCTAACTCCCTCCTCAACTCCTGCTCCGCCTCCTCCCCACCTCCTCTTCCTTCTTCGCTTCACCTCCTCTTCAGTCTCCTCCTACACCTCCTCCTCCCTCTTCACCTCCTTCTCACACCTCCACCTCTTCAGCCTCCACCTTCAGACCCCATCTCCACCTCCTCCTCCACCTCTTCAGCCTCCTCCTCCACCTCTTCAGACCCCAACTTCACCTCCTCTTCAGCCTGCCGGTTTATGCTCACGGCTACACTCCACCCCGGCAACAAACACTACCCTGACCACCTGACTTACAACCTTCTGTGCTGACCATCTGACCACAACTTCTACTTTCACTATCTTACTTCATTTGCATACAGAGGTCCTCACGCTTTCTCCACTCTCTCTCTCTTTTATCTGTATCTCTCTTATCGCCGCTAGTGGATGGCTTATCTCACTCCCCTTTCTCTTGCTTTCATTACTCTCTCTTGTCTTCTCCCTCCTTCTAGTCAAGATTCATCCTATTTTTTCTGTCAACAACTTTCTCTTTCTCTGTGTCTATAGTTAACTGCTTTCTCCTGTCTTTCTCAGTATTTTTCTAATTCTTATTCTTGGCATTATTCCTTCTCCTCCTCTTCCTCCTCACTGTTTCTGTCAGCATATTCCCCACCCTCTCTCCTTCGCATTAATACTTTCACTTCACTCTCTGTCATCAGCTTCTCCACCCCTTTCCCTTTGTGTTAATGCTTTCACCTTTCTTTTTTTCTCATAATTTTCCCTCTCTTCCCCCTCTCTCTGTCCCTCTCTCTAGATAAACTTTTTTTCATACGCTGCTTATTTCCCCTCCTTTTTTGTGTCTCTCCCTCTTTCGTTATTGCCTTCATCTAATTTTTTTTCCTCTAATTCTTTTTCCCCTTTCCTTCTAAAACTAGTGCATTTCCCCTTTTCATCAGGTCATTCAGTCTATATTTTTGTCAATCGTTTTTTCTGTCACTGTAACACCTCTTTTTTCCCCTAACTCATTAATATCTATACTATTTCACTCCCATCTTCTTTCTCTCCCTCTTCCGTCACTCCCTTCATCTTCCCCTTCCGTCACCCCATTCCTTTTCTCCCCTCTGTCACTCCCTCTTTTCTCTCCCGTCACTCCCCTTCTTACTCTCCTCTTCTGTCACCCCTCTTTTCCCCCTCCGTCACTCCCATCTCTTTCTATTCCCTTCCGTCACTCCCTCTTATCTCCCTTCCGTAACTCCCCTTTTCTCTCCCTCTGTCACTCCCTCCTTTTTCTTCTCCCCCCTTCCGTCACTCCCATCTCTTTTCTCTCCCTCTTCCGTCACTCCCCTCTCTTTTCTCCCCCTTCCGCCATTCCCCTTTGTTCACTCTCCCCTCTTCCTTCACTCCCCTTTGTTTTCTCTGCCTCCTTCCGTCACTCGCAAGTTTCAGACTATCGCCCACTTTAATTTCAGGCTCTAACACCGTCGTTCCAAAACTTTTACAAGGACGCCCAACAAACACGGATCTTTACGAATCGCCTCTCGGGAACACACACACACACACACACACACACACACACACACACACACATACATACATACTGAGACAGACACACACCAATTTTAAGTTTGGTCATGAATGATGGCGGATATTGAAAGCAATCTAAAAACTATAAAACAAGATTGAAAAACCGTTGGCAAAACATAGCCTGTATTTCAACATGGAAAATCCAATTGAAAAACAGCAGGTGTAAAATTAGTCTGTGTTTCAACATGGAAAAATCCGAGTTTCAGGCGCGGTTGAGTACAAAATGCGACACATTGGCTAAACGGAACTAGTAATATCAAGGTATTTCTCGTTTTAATTTAAGATTAAACACCCCAACACTAACCTAACCCAAACCTAACACTAACATAACACTAACATAATACTAACCTAATCTAACACTAAGCTAACCTAACCTAACCTAACACTAACCTAACACTAAGCTAACCCAACACTAAGCTAACCCAACACTAAGCTAACCTACACTAAGCTAACCTAACACTAACCTAACCTAACCCTAACCTAACCTAACACTAAGCTAACCTAACACTAAGCTAACCTAACACTAAGCTAACCTAACACTAAGCTAATCTAACACTAACCTAACCTAATACTAAGCTAACCTAACACTAAGCTAACCTAACACTAAGCTAACCTAACACTAAGCTAACCTAACACTAAGCTAACCCAACACTAACCTAACCTAACACTAACCTAACCTAACACTAACCTAACCTAACACTAACCTAACACTAAGCTAACCTAACACTAAGCTAACCTAACACTAAGCTAACCTAACACTAAGCTAACCCCTCCAGGTGGCTTTAGGGTGGTTGGTCTTACGGTCACACACGAGGAGTTCAACATGAAGGGATAGCACAACGCTGTACAGGTTTGGTTTTAACAGCATCAGAGTCATAAACAACAATTAAAAAAACAAACACAGCTTAATTATAGGTTAGTGCAGCATATTTTGACACTGCTACACTGTATGGTTCACTGCTACACTGTATGGTTCACTACTACACTGTATGGTTCACTGCTACATTGTATGGTTCACTGCTACACTATATGGTTCACTGCTCCACTGTATGACTCACTACTACACTGTATGGTTCACTGCTACATTGTATGGTTCACTGCTACATTGTATGACTCACTACTACACTGTATAGCTCACTGCTACACTGTAAGGTTCACTACTACCTGTTCTAATGACTATGAATAAGAAATACTAATTCAAAAGATGTTCCACAGTCCCTTCCTTCACAGCTGATAAGACCTCAAACTTGTTACATAGAACTTGTGGAAATATAATAGACAGAGGCGCTACAGACAACACATATCGATTACCTGTTCCAGCCTCTTATACCATTTGTGGATCTGTGAATTGGGATGACTTTGATGGACAGCTTTGGTATGTATATATATATTACAAAGAAGTCTGCCTCGCCATATACTGCATAGGACTTTTCCCCCCCTCCACACACACACAGTCTCCAGAACCCAACCCCCTCCACATATTCCATAATTCTTCCTCTTCCACATACTCCATAACTCTTCCTCTTCCACATACTCCATAACTCTTCCCCTTCCACATATTCCATAACTCTTCCCCTTCTACATACTCCAGAACACTCCCCCTTCTACATACTCCATAAGTCCCCCCTCCACATAATCCAGAACCTTCCCCCTTCCACATACTCCATAACCCTCCGTCTCCACTTACTCCAATACCCTCCTACTCCTCCACACACCAATGACTCCCACTCATACAACACACCGAGGGAAAGAGAGACATTAGTCCGAGAAAGAACGAGACTGAGAAAGAAACCTAAGCCAAGGATTGTGCGGCAATCCCCTCGCCATGGTGTCCGCCGCCTCTCTCTTTTGTTAGTATTATTCCAGGAATTACTCAAGCTACTGCAGAAGGGAGGTGACCCGCATCTTCAGTAGCGGCCATCACCTTCTTCTTCTTCTCCTCCTCCTCCTCCTCCCACATTCTATATCTTCCACAGTCACTGGTTGATTGTGTTGTAGTTTGATCTGATGATGATGGTAATAATGACGATGGCGATGATGATAATAATGATAATGACACTGATAACGATGACGAAAATGATAGGATTCTACAAAAAAGTGACGATACACATTTAATCACTTAACTATGATCCCTGATTTCGATGTTATTCTGTCTGGCTGCCATCATCATCATCATCATCATCATCATCATCATCATCATCATCACCATCATCATTATCATCATCATCATACAAAGGTCAAGTGAACTAATTAAAACTCACAACTCCATTTAGCAGAAAAAACAAATAACTTACCTCTGAGAATCCAAGGCTTGATAACCACACGTCTGAACTGTACTAAACCTCTCCCCTGCCTGCACTATGGACACGACACTCACCTAGTGGGAAGAGAGAGAAAATAAGTTAGTAATTAGTATGACTGACAATAACAAACTATAAATGTCAACTACTGTTATATAATCCCACTAAGGGTCTAATTTTTCTCCCTTGCTGAAGAAATAAATAGACCTGAAAGTGTTATTATATATTATTTGTATGTTTTTGTTGTTTTTTTAAGAGATGACTTCAATGGAATTTCACTTGAGACACAAACAGACACATATACAAATTCCTGTAGTCACATACCGAAGTACAGAGAGATGGCTGATATGTACAAGGTTCATTACATATACTGTACTGTACCATATCAGAGCCTTTCCAAATATAAATTCCAGACTTACATTATAGCAATTCATGTAAGGCAAGTCAGAACAACCAGCTGATAGCACACATATAACTATTAAGTAACTCAGAGTAATAGGTAACCCTATGTTTGTTTTGACTTACGGCGAATAACAAAAAATCTTCCGACATTAAAAAAATTATGATATACTTCCGAATTTATGATAATAAACCTCGTTAAAAGATATTAAACGTTGCACAGATCCGAAACTCTACGACAGCTGTTATATAAAGCTGGGCAAGACCATTAAGAAGTATTTACTGGTTACTGCCACCGACCATGGCAAATAATTTGGCAGCCGGGCGACGACATTTAATATAAGAAGCAAGGCCAATAGTTCTTGGTAAGACGCTGTTACACTGGAACTCCATAAGACAGCTGGATGAGTTACACGTAAGGCAAACAAACTGCCTAAAGAAACATATACATTCGATTCTGCCATAAAAAATAATGGTGCAATAAGAAATTTACGCTAATTATTTTCAGTATCTTTATTAAACAGAAATTTAAGGAAACTTGCAACACTTAAGGATGACCTGAAGATTGACCACCCTAAAACTAACCTGACCTAACCCCCCCCCCCCTCCTTTAGGTAGCTTTAGGGTGGTTAATCTTCAAGTGAAATGAACCAGGGTGTCTAATCTTCAGGGGAAACAAGACATGGTATCTAACCTTCAGATGAAATAAGATATGTCTAATCCTCGGGTGAAATAAGCTAGGGTGTCTAATCCTCAGGTGAAATAAGCTGGGGGTCTAATCCTCGGGTGAAATAAGCTGGGGGTCTAATCCTCGGGTGAAATAAGCTGGGATAACTAATCTTCAGGTGAAATAAGCTGAGGGTCTAATCATCAGGTGAAATAAGCTGAGGGCCTAATCTTCAGGTGATCCACATTCAATAACAAGAAAGTTTTAACAGTGAAACAAAATCTACACTAAACTGAAGTAGTGAGGCGTGACAGAACTATGGGAGAAAGAAAATATATAGATCACATGAAGATTAGCCCCCTCCCTGCCTCCCTAGCTTATTTCGACTGATGGTTAAATGCCCTGACGCTGCCTGGGAATAGGTTTAGGTTAGGTTAGGCTAATTCTAAGGTGATATAGGGTGATCCAAATACAGTACCGTACTTAATAATTAATAGAAGCCAACATTCACAATATAATTCTCAATATCATCCCAATATTTACCAGTTGACCTCATAAAACCCGAGAAAAACTAAGGTATTGGGCACATGGTAAAAATACTTCCTAGAAGAAGAAGAAGAAGAAGAAGAAGAAGAAGAAGAAGAAGAAGAAGAAGAAGAAGAAGAAGAAGAAGAAGAAGAAGAAGAAGAAGAAGAAGAAGAAGAAGAAGAAGAAGAAGAAGAAGAGAAGAAGAAGAAGAAGAAGAAGAAGAAGAAGAAGAAGAAGAAGAAGAAGAAGAAGAAGAAGAAGAAGAAGAAGAAGAAGAAGAAGAAGAAGAAGAAGAAGAAGAAGAAGAGAAGAAGAAGAAGAAGAAGAAGAAGAAGAAGAAGAAGTAGTAAGAAGAAGAAGAAGAAGAAGAAGAAGAAGAAGAAGAAGAAGAAGAAGAAGAAGAAGAAGAAGAAGAAGAAGAAGAAGAAGAAGAAGAAGAAGAAGAAGAACAGTTAAAGAAGAAGAAGAAGAAGAAGAAGAAGAAGAAGAAGAAGAAGAAGAAGAAGAAGAAGAAGAAGAAGAAGAAGAAGAAGAAGAAGAAGAAGAAGAAGAAGAAGAAGAAGAAGAAGAAGAAGAAGAAGAAGAAGAAGAAGAAGAAGAAGAAGAAGAAGAAGAAGAAGAAGAAGAAGAAGAAGAAGAAGAAGAAGAAGAAGAAGAAGAAGAAGAAGAAGAAGAAGAAGAAGAAGAAGAAGAAGAAGAAGAAGAAGAAGAAGAAGAAGAAGAAGAAGAAAGAAGAAGAAGAAGAAGAAGAAGAAGAAGAAGAAGAAGAAGAAGAAGAAGAAGAAGAATGAAGAAGAAGAAGAAGAAGAAGAAGAAGAAGAAGAAGAAGAAGAAGAAGAAGAAGAAGAAGAAGAAGAAGAAGAAGAAGAAGAAGAAGAAGAAGAAGAAGAAGAAGAAGAAGAAGAAGAAGAAGAAGAAGAAGTTGTAAGAAGAAGAAGAAGAAGAAGAAGAAGAAGAAGAAGAAGAAGAAGAAGAAGAAGAAGAAGAAGAAGAAGAAGAAGAAGAAGAAGAAGAAGAAGAAGAAGAAGAAGAAGAAGAAGAAGAAGAAGAAGAAGAAGAAGAAGAAGAAGAAGAAGAAGAAGAAGAAGAAGAAGAAGAAGAAGATGGACGAATAAGAAGTAGTACAACAACAACAATAACAACAACAACCTCAGGTAAACCAATATGTCTCCCTCCTTGTGGGGTAAATAACCATAATGCCATTAACAGTAAGTTGTTCAAGCGGAGAAAAGTTAAAGCCGTCGAGAATACCAACTTCCATCACACACACATTAGAAGATGAAGTAGGTCCTGTGTTGCTGCTATCATGGTGTACAATATATCATCTCCTACAACACATTAGAATCACTCAACATCTGCAATAACATAACATCCAATCACATATGTGTCTTGGTATCTTACTTAACTTTCCTTACGGTATGGTCCAAGACAGATGGTTATTTAAAATCACTACAGTTGTTATTGTTTTAGAACCCGATACTTCAACTGGCCAGGTCATTAAACAGGGTCCCAAGTCTTAGTTTGTTACGATAGAAAACTTGTAAAAATTTATGGAGACACAAGGTAGGCCGTTGTAACAATGTATTGCCAGGGCCACCACGAACACAAGTCCTCTCCAACCCTCAACAACTTTTATCAGGTTTCAAACGATATAAAACTTTAAGGGGTCAATTTAAGGCCTTAAAGGTGGGACGATGTTGTCTTTTTTCGACCTCTCTCTCTCTCTCTCTTCACTCTGCATATTTATCTTTCTTTACCATACTCGTACACCTCTTTCTCTCCCTCTCTCCACACAACGCATCTCTCTCTCTCTCTCTCTCTCTGCTTTACCATTGAACCCTAAAATGTGACTGAGAATTGTCAAAACAACAACCTATCTAATAGTAATATAAGAACAATAAAAATACTATTATTACTTATAATAGCAACGACAACATCAATAACAACAACAATAACAGCAATCATAAAATATAATAAAAACGACAACAATAATACAAACAAGAACAATTATATTTATAGTAAAATGAAAAAACTACAACAATAAAAATACAATTGTTCGGCACGAGGCAGGACAACACCCAGTAAATCCCCTTCACCCTCCCCTTAGGGCCTCTGGGTGTTGTATTTCCATTATATAAAAACCTACTGACATAACGACATGCAGCGGGGTTTGTTTTTTCTGCTTCAGTTATAAAGAATCCCGAGAGAAAATAAAATGTGAAATTAACATAACTGTGACCCTGTAGCTTATGGTCCAGAGTAATTACAATATGGTGTAGAGAGAGAGAGAGAGAGAGAGAGAGAGAGAGAGAGAGAGAGAGAGAGAGAGAGAGAGAGAGAGAGAGAGAGAGAGAGAGAGAGAGAGAGAGAGAGATTCACTAAATTGCTCAATGTTATATTTGCTCTCATATCTCTCATTTCATATTCCACATCACAACAAGATCTAAACATTGTAATAAACTGTTAAGATACAGAAACTATCCCAAGTCTACCATAAGGATTTCACTACTGATTCCCAAAGATTTTTTTTAATTAATCCCATCTCCTGACTACTGTAATCCCAACAACATATTTACGGTAATCCCAAAGTGTAAGCTTGAGAAAGAGTTTAATACAGTTCTTAAAGAATAAGTAACGTGTGTTTTTATTTCCTCATTTTATTTAAGCATGTAACAGATCAGATTATTTCATGTTAGGTTATTTTAACATCTGATAGTACTTATGCAGTACAACAACAACCTAACCTAGAAATGAAGGAGGAAAGAAAACTGAGAAAACACAGGAAAACAACAACCTCTCCCCTCCCCTTACGGAACACATGATCATTATAACAGAATCTAGTTACAGTAAACACATGATCATTATAACAGAATCTAGTCAGTGCTACAGTGACCCCCTTACGGAACACATGATTATAACAGAATTATAACACTGATCATTATAACAGAATCTAGTCAGTGCTACAGTGACTTACGGAACACATGAACATTATAACAGAATCTAGTCAGTGCTACAGTGACTTACGGAACACATAATCATTATAACAGAATCTAGTCAGTGCTACAGTGACTTTACGGAACACATGAACATTATAACAGAATTAGTTGTGCTACAGTGACCCCCGTTACGGAACACATGAACATTATAACAGAATCTAGTCAGTGCTACAGTGACCCCCCTTACGGAACACATGATCATTATAACAGAATCTAGTCAGTGCTACAGTGACTTCTCTGTTATAACAGAATCCCCACGGAACACATGATCATTATAACAGAATCTACTCAGTGCTACAGTGACCTCCCCTCCCCCCCCAGTCATATCCTCAGGTATCCGCCTCTCATACATCATAATGAAACCTCTTAAACTGGGGTTCATTATGGATTCATTAACCCTCGTAAACGACTCTTTCAGCTATAGGAACTCCTCTCCATCATTCGTGTTACAAGGTAGTAGGGTGGGGGGACACTACCCGTTATCATA